GAGGTACAAGCAATGGGAAACGAATAGATAATTAGTACGAAGGTGGGGACAGAGAAGTACTGTACTGCCTTACAGCGCCTTTATAGGCCCTGTCATGTAAGCTAACGTAGGATTTTTTTGCCATTATTACTATATTTTTATATAGGAAGTCAACTTGTTTTTGGAAAGGTCCTCGGAGAAAGGGCATTACGTGGCCGGTTCTGGGAAGTTAATGTTTGGAATTCAATTTTGCACAAAAGTTCTATCGTCTCCATTTTTCGTGGAAATGTTAAGGCGAGCGGAAGCGCCGTCTCCTGGAAAGAACTGAGAAAGGCCATTCCAGCAAATTTGAAGGGGACGGTCCAAGGGGAACAGCAGTCGATTAATCCAGGTAATTAAGAGCATTGAGGTACAGAAATAAGGTCAAATAAGGAGACAAAAGCCAAATCAGTGGGAGCCAGGCGGAGGGCTGAAAAAAAGATAAAGGTTGCTTTTTGCCCCACTTCACACTCGTATTGGCTTGACCTGATGCTAAAATCCTTACCAAAATATACTGTATACGCGGATAAAAGCCACTAGCCTTTTTGTTTTTTCCAGATTGGGCTCCCTCTGGCAGCTCGACACGTTTAAGATTAACATTGCTTTTTGCTCTGACATTAACGTACTGAGGTGAATCAGTACAGTTTTTCTGAGACATAGTTGAGCGCGCTAATAAAGCTCGAAAAATGTAACTTCTGATGAGTGAGTGACATGGGATCGAATAAGTCTAAAATTATTAATAGCGGGGCGCGAAAGAAGGATTCATTAAAGAGCATTTACTATGGGCTTTTAGCGGAAGGTTTTATTATTAGTTTGGACTATCTTCTCGCCGCTTTGCCGGTTTTTCTTCTACGTTTCTGGTTTATTTATTTTTCATTTGGTATGGTATAACACGTGCACGCTCAAGGTTTTTTGATCAATGATGTATGTTTTCAAATTTGCGTCCCGCGCTGATTTGATTGGCGCATTTGGCACCAAGTATCTAATACAACTGACTACTTTTACTTTGCATTGTTTACCTTCGTAATACTTCCTGTCAGTTAAATGGGACCACGTTGTGGATAGCAACTGGTATAGGGCGCAATAACGGAATTTTGCGCATTTTACGCAGCGTAGTAACAATTTGTCATGGCAGTTATATGTTTGCAAAAGCAACCAACGTTTATAGTCCTTCCACTCTTAACTGTCAATCTTATATCATTTTTACAATGTTAAGTATTCATATTTGCAATCGCATAAGATGACTATTGTAATCCGAGTCTGATTCGTGTTAATTTGAACACCTGTCTGAGTGAACAAGATGTTGGCTCGATTATACCTGATCAACTTCTCCGGGATCATTTTCTGACAGGTACAAGATATGCGAAGATTCGCACGAAATTTTGACCAGTCTCTCAGACTAGATTGGAACACTAAAGCTTGACCAAAAGTGTGACCAAGCTAAAAGCGATGCCTTAAAAATCTAATTTTTGAAATTTTCATCTTATTAAGTCAACTTTTAGAAACATCAGGCTTTAAGGGAGACACTCCATAAGCAAGCTTTTCGCCAAGACAAACGCTTTCTTTATGTTAGGGATTCCCTTCCTCTTACAGAGTCTCCTTTCCCTTTCTCCTTGTCTCCGTACGAATGATATCGTCAACAAATTTTTGCGCATCTATAGGTTTCGAGTTGCTAAAGTAATGGAGCTCGCAAGCTCCGCTATTAAGAATTGCTTTATTTAATTTATTTTTCTGATAACAGAAGATGACTTCATGCTTGAATTCAAGACGCGATCCACCCTTAACTTTGCAAATTACACCCTTCCTATCAACGGCAAGTTTGTTGATTTTACCGTCTGTGCGTGGCTTAAAACCAAAGAACAAGGAACAGTTTTTCAGTATTCCAACATGGATCCTAGAGGAAAAGTCGTAGATGTTTTCATTACAGAGGAAGGAAATGCAATTTTCACCATCAACGGAACAGTTAGTCAGTAAGTATATCTTAACGTCTACTAAGAGCCGAACTTTAACAACTTCATAAATAAGCTGTACCTAAATAAGTAAAATAAAAAAATTTAAGTTTTTTGATAATGGCTAAGCCAATCAGAGCTCTAGAATTGCATTAACCAAAGATTCCGTTTTTAATTAATGACAAGGACTCATTCATACATTGATTTCATGTATAGGGTACTATCTTCCATGTGTTCAACTCTGAAAAATTGTCATTCTTTAACTGATTTTGAAATGTCGCAACTAAAAAATTATAATTGTATTGTAAAATAATGTCACAATAATGTCATTGTCTGAATGATGGTTGGTAAATGTTGATTCTTGCTCTAACTATTCAAATCAATCAAGCCTTTATATTATTAACGAAGCATGCCTGGAATAAACCCATAGCGACTTATGATATTAAATAATAAATTTATATTGCTACATTCGTCGTTCAATTTGCATTGTATGTACTTGATAATAAAATAATAATAATTGTTTTTAGTTATCATAATTATTTTAATATTATACAGGATAATAGAGTGTCTTTACTTGACACGTGAAACAGATTGACAACTAGTGCAAAATATACTGCATGTACGAGTAAAAAAAGAAGACACTGGACTTACTGTATAATAGAACATAATATTCTACAAGCTACAATGCAAAGTAAAATCATAATGAACGATTATCCTTTGGTAGTTACTGCGTAGCTAAACACCACAGGGTGCTGTAGAAATTCTACAAGATAAGCCAATCAGATTACTTGGTTAATTAAAAATATATCTCGACTCATTTCCTGTGGTTGTGAATTAATTCGCGAAGTCAGCGCACCCGGTTATGGCCGCGAAAAAAAATTACAAAGGGCGAAGCCCAAACGTGCAGCGATATCTGGATAGTTGTGGCCGGGATATAGATATATCTGAGATGATAGCCCCAAATCTTGCTGCAGGAGCCAGACTTGCAGCCAAGAATGAAAGCCAAGCTCTGGACGAGAAGACTGCCAGAACCTACGAGCTCCGGCTTATCACACTGGAAGAGTTTGCGAAGAAGAACGGGGATGATGCCGTGCTTTTCGGCTCTAACAAGAGGCCATTCTTAGCAGCGACATTGCAAACGTTCATGCGTAAGTGTTCAGTACTTCAGTAACGTTTTTGAGACACAGTTTTAGCGTTCTGCGTACTTAGCGTTGGTTGCGGCTTTCTTGTCATAGGACCCTCGTATTTAACCAGTTGTAATGCGTCTATTTACTCTGTTTGACTGCTTTATTCTGTAGCTTATCGTAATTAACAACGTGTTTTTTTTCACTGCTGGGTCGGTCGGATGACGGTCGAATAATCAGTATGTTCTTTTATTTCATTGCCAAAAGATTATCCGGTCGACGAAGAAAGGTTGGAAAAAAAATGTACCTCTGAATAACTTAACCACAAAATCATGTGAGTAGGAGTATTTGGGTCGGCATTTGTGCTGAATACGGATCGTCCAACAATGCTGAATGGAGTCCCCCTTTCATAAATTGTCATACAGAGCGGTTATTCTTTTTGATCCTTATTCTTTTAATAACGTAAGGCGCTGGCCTGGTTAGTGCGCAATAAGCATTTGTGATCTTAGCCTAGTAGCAATAGAGCAAACCGCGTTGAATAAACAGCGAGAGGCGGTTTGTTAAACATCGCACTAAAATGTGTTGCTCCTGTATGTGCCACAGATTGCGTTATTGCAAAGTATGGTATTTTAAAACGTAAAGGCATGCTTTTGAAACCAAAGTTCGCAATAACGCAAAACATGGCGAATGAATGGTAAGACATGGTTTGAAATCATCGCAAAATGCGGTTAACCTGAAAAAACCACAGATTGCATTATTGCAAAATGTGGAATTAAAAGAAAAGTTTTTGTCCATGCTTTAGAAACCACAGTTTGCAATAACGCAAAACATGGCGAATGAATACTAAGACATGGTTTGAAATCATCGCAAAATGCGGTCAACCTGAAAAAACCACAGATTGCGTTATTGCAAAATGTGGAATTAAAAGTAAAGGCCTTAGTCCATGCTTTTGAAACCACAGTTCGCAGTACTACCGTGCGGGTCAGTTTTTTTGGCGGGGGAGCGAAATGGGAAATGGCGCGAAGATAAGCGGGAAGGCCGGGTTACCCGTGACAATATTGAAATGACATGGGCTCCAGTTGAAAATCCGAGTCGAGGTCAAAGCGGCATTCGGGATTGTAAGCCTCTGGTTCGGTTTACGGAGAAAAATTGAAGGTTCGAGAAATCGGGATTCTAGTGTATTTGCACGAAAGTGAAATGAATTCATCTTTCGCAATTGCTTCGTAAGTGTATTCGTAGCTTATGAGCTTATCTTTTGTGCGTTTGTACCAGTTTTGTCCACAGTGTACACAGACCTGCCAACCCCTGATAAAGGAAAATCTGGAGACCCATGAAAAAAAATCTGGAGATTCTATAAAAAATAGTGAGATTCTATTTTTTTCCCGATGAAGATTAAACAAACCCCTTTTCCATCGAGGAAAGTCATTAACAGTTTATTTTTCGCCATGTTTATACGATTGCGATCGCTTTCCTGCGCTGAACTTACAAAGACTACTGGGAAACTCAACATGGGAGACGCCTGGGAATTAGACCTCGTTCCCAGGGCCTACTCCCATTTCAAAATGGCGGACAGACACGAAGAAAAACGATTAAGTTTATTGAACACAAGTGAAAATCACAGCTGGGTACAAAAAAGTAAGAACAGTGTTCTTCTTTATTAGGTTTTCACTTTATGGCACAAGCATTCCTCGTTAATTTCCCATTTTTATTCTGATTCAACAACTTAAATCATTTCAGAATGATTTTTCCCAAAACCCGTGAGATTGAGGAGCCTTGTCCTGAGACCATGAGAAAAGACAAAAAATCGTGAGACTCACAGCAGAACCGTGAGAGTTGGCAGGTCTGTGTACAGCATTGTAAGTTTATTCGGTGTTGAATCGAGGCTTGTTTATATTCCTTTTCAGAGGTGATGGGGGAAACAAAAGGGAAAAAGATAGGTACCTTACGTTGTCGTGGGTTGAAGCCTCCTGTAATCAGGGGCTATGCCGCCGCGTTCGGTTACTGGTTTAGAACGTTTGGGCACACCGAACAATATAGCGAAGCCATTATCACGGCTGAAGATGGTTCTCAACAGGTTATCCCAAAGGGAAATCCGATGTCTTCGCCTGGTAAGCTATAAAATTACCTTCCTTTTTCTAATTTAATCCAAAAATTTTTTTGTTATTTTTTATAACGTTAAGCCTATGTAAGTATGGATTCCTTGTCACACTTTTGCCTCATGGTCAACTCCTTAATTCTGAATATAATGTGATCAAAACATGCAAAATCACCACCCTTCATCACTACTATATGTTTTATCATTACAAAATACATATACAATAACTAACTAAACTTCTCCCCTTTTCAAAAACTAGTCAGAGATTTCAACAGATCTTTATTTTAATGGAAACTTCTAGCGATGATCCTTATTCTACTGTTGTGTTTTATCTTGTTTTTGATATTTTGTTGGTAAAATAAATTGGTGTCAAAATTGAAGCTATCTGATTTAAACAGTTCAAGGTATCATCCACCCTCAAGTACCTTCCTCGCGTAGATTGGCGCTGGCGGTTTTGCTTTTAACAAATTAATACCCCCATAAACCGTACATTTTCTGAATGCTTAATAGTTCCAGATTATTGCTTATTTCTTTTAAAAAATCAAAATATTAACGAAATTTAGAAATGAGAAACTTTTTGTGAAAGTGGGTGTTACTGTGAATTTAAGTCCAGTCCAGCCAAAATTAACGGAAGAAGCCAATTAAGAACGCATTCGCTTCTTAACACGTTTGGCTGAAAAACCATGTCTCAGATTTTTGTCAAGTGCGTTTGTTCTGTGTTATAAGCAGGTGAAGTTAAGGATAGCAAATCGTTAGTACTACCTGTGAAAAAAAAAATACTCCAACTTGAAAACGAAAAAAGAAATCAAAATTCGCAGGCAAGGTTTTTAGAAAAACTATCTGACAGTAAGTTGGCCAAATTTCAGCCAAATTGGTGTAGGGGTTGCTGACTTGGAGTTTAAAACGCGTACCCTCAACTTGCCCTGATTTTCTTTTGAGAAAACAGTGGAAAAAGGTTTTTGGCGGCGTATTACCCATGACGAGATTATAACAGATTATAACAACAAAGCTGTCAATGTTGACGCATACCAGAGAAGAAACAAAAATAGTGACACAGCAGGAAAAGTTGAAAACGAAACCCAACAACAGATGGACAATTTATTTCAAAGGCTCTGCTCTGTTCGATCCTTTCTGTTTTCGAGAAAGCTTCATTAGTTATTTGCAACGGGTAGTTTTCATTTTCGCACCAAACAAGCCAAGTTGAGCCGAGCCCACTTTTACTCGATACATTTTTTAAAAGTTCGACACTTCCCTGGAAAATTCGACAGCAAACCGCTTCCTGGAGTTGTTCTTAAAGCTTTTTTCCCGCTACAATAGACTTTCAAAACAGTACTTCGTCCGATTTTTATATGGCGTGGGACCTCTCGTGACTTTGTCTCTTGCTTGGCTGCTTCGCGGCCTAAAAAGCTCGCTCCGCTCGCTAATGAACTCGCGAAACTCTATTCCGCGGTAGTTTCAATGGGTTTTTCAGGAGCTTTGTCATCTTTTAGCCATTCTCATTGATGGTAGTAGGAGCCCTTGTCGCTCTCTGCTAATTTCGAAGCCCACTCTTTGGCGGCAAAACAATTTTGTTGTCTTCTTTTGTGGAGTCGAGAACGAAAACAGACGAGCTCTTTTTTCTTCTTTGGAGGCATTCACTTTCAAAATCCAGGGAAAAACAGTGAGTACTATACTTGTAAACCACGATTTCTGTCAAATTGCGTTATTAGCTTGGTTCAACAGCGGCACGCGTATTAAGTATGAGAGGACTTGTCAACGATCAATTAAAATAATTAGCGTAGAAAAAACTTTTGCGCTCCATAATTCTGCACAGAAAAAACGTTTTTTCGTGGATTTTTTTTTTATTAGAAAGCTGTTGATGAGCTCAATTTAATAGTCTAAAAATTGCAAAATTATTTAGAAAAGTGATGATTTTTTTACCCTGAATGATACCTTAATAATTATTGTGATAAGGAAGTTCATCAAGTAATAGATAGACCATAGTGTTAAATTTGAATCATAACCACTGAATTTAATTCAAATCCTAGTTCAATAGAAATTTAATTCAATAACCAAAATATGTTGCTTCATGACAATGGCCCCTGATTTTGCTATGTAAATTGTGGCTTGATAATCAATGAAGAAATGCATCCATGAAAATGTGCCTTTAAAAAACTTGTACAAGGTTTTCCTGTCCTTGAAAGATGAGCCAATCTGGTTAGGCATGTGAAGTTTTTGTGAATGAATGATTACTGAAGAACTGTTATCAGCTATTTAGTCTTATGTTGATGGTCTAATTTTCTTGTTTAAAATTTTAATGCTGTGCATGTTCATTTTCAAATTTATTTGATAATTATTTTTGATAATCAACTGGGTTAGGACTGTTAATTGTTATTTAATGTATGTGTAAGTCATCGTTATTGTCATGTCAGTTACTGAGAATAGTCCTCTTAGGACTACACCAAACCAGATTCTTCGTGCCACAACCTATGACATGATGCCTGAGTGTTCAAACATTAATTTTAGGTTGAATTTATTTCTTTTGTATGCTCAAATGACCACTGGAGGAACTTACTTTGTTCTGATTTTTCTCTCGGTAATAGTATCTCAGGGTTTTACCATCTTACACTGAAGTATGATGCTTGGGCAAATTGTAGCAAATTTATAGCCCTTTCTCCATTCACCAATAAATCCTCACAATGAAGGGATTTTGATTGTATTATTTTCATGCTTGTCACTAATTCTTGGATTTTTGGGATTGTGTTTTAGCTGTTACTCAGACCATGAAGCAGCTGGTGAAAAGAGCAAAGAGACCCACTGCTAGGGATACGCGGCATGGGAGAGTGCCTTATGAGCCTAAGAAGGCTCCACCCTTTACAATTCAGCAGATGTTGCGTATGCGTGCATACTGTTTAAATACAATCGAGGTAATCACGACTCAAGTTTAAATCCTCTTGACCCTGCTTGTAAATGGCTAACAGGCTGCCTCCTGCTAGTTAGGGTTCTTTTATTTTATTATGTACCCATTTGAATTTCCTGTGTACTGGTTTAAAGTTATTTTAAGTGGAGGGATGCCTGTAAGTTACAATCGGCTACAAAATTGTTGAGACATTGTACTAACTAAAGATAGGGTAACTTCAGAGAACAAAAGAGTCCAAAAACCTCCCCCCTCCCTTCCATTCAAAGTTGGGGTGTTTGATGTTTTCTATAGCTAGTTTGAACAGCGGCACAACATTGCATGGAGGGATGGGGAGGAAAAGCTTTATTCTCTTTTTTGAAGTCGGTAAAAAATCAAAAAGCCCCTTTTGGTTGAGGTGTCTCAACTGCATTTCCATGTGAAACAAAACATGTATCATTTTACGGCTGATAGATTTTAAAATGATGAAGATAAATTAAAGACCTTGCAGTGAGTTGACTCAATGGAATGTGGCAAGGATCTCTTTCAGCAGAGAGGGAGGTTCAGGTTATCCCATGTTTTTCCCTTTTGGAAAATTCTGTTATTTATCTGGTTAGCCAAAGATCTTACTTTAGAAGAACCACAATATAACAAATGGCAATGAGGATGTGTAGTAAAATAGTTTTCATGTCTAGTTTAAAAAGTTTTATAAAGGTTGGTCATATTCATATATTTCACTATTGTTTGTGCAAGGAATATTGAGGACTTATATAGAGGTCAAATTAAAAGGTACACTACAGGAGGCAAACAACGTCTGTTTAATTGACTTTGCCATTGCCGAAAGTGATAGCCAAAGTGTACCTAGTGAATGTCATTTCGAGTAGCCAGAAAAATGTAACAGCCAGGATTAATTATGAAAGTAATTTAATGATCATTTAATTATTTATTTTAGTGATAGCTAATAATTTAACACAAGCTTTTAAAGCCTCTCGAGCCTTAAAGGGAAGGTGTGTTAGAATCAATATTGATTTTACCTGAAGATTCCGCATCTCACTCAGCACCTTGATTGAGATGAAATTCTTACATAAAATGTAAAGGTGGTTTTCCAGGTTTCACTTCATCTGATCTGTTTTAAAACTAGCTTAAAGAATTTGTCAGGTATTTTTATTTCATGTTCACTTCCCTGTAAGGCAAGTTAACAGCAAAATTCATTAGCCTGACGTCAAAATCTGTTTGTCATATTATATTAATTAATGCTTGTTTTATTTACTACCTATTAAATTATGATATAACATATTTATATAATTTTTTTTCAGGGATTACGAGGTTTATGGTTGTGGACCATAACTTTGTTCTCTTTTGCTCTGTTCCTAAGAGGGGAGGAACCTCTCCGACTGAAGGTTAAGAACCTGAGGTTACCAGCCAATTTCAATTCAGGTATTGAAAGTTGTATATTCTAGGTTGTCTTTCATAAACAAACAAATGGTTAAAAAGTTAACTTCTGTCACCTTTATTTGGCTGTTTTATGTTAAGTGGTCACCCTGTATTAGGTAGTCTCACTCACAGCCGCTTTTGTCTTGACTCATTGAATGTTCCTCCCCAACATATGGCAACTCACACTCGATTCACATGTCATTGCTTTCCAATATTGTTTTATCAACCCACAGAAATGACCAATCATTTATTATCAAACTGAAAATGACATCAGTTTACCGCATTTTGGTGCAAAGAATGTGCTTGGCCCTGTGATTTCCAGTTTTATCACAGGTGTTAGCTACGATGGGCCAGGTTCAGTTTTGATTCATAAACACTGATTGTAGAATCATGGCAAAACTGAAAGACACATTTAGCACTGAAATGGGTGACTTCAAACTGTACAGTGCTTGGCATATAAAAGCTGGAATAATTTGACGTATAGGGGCAGTACATTCTGAGGAGTCGCTGAATAATCATTATTATACAGATCACTAGGCTAGCTACCAGTCAATGTCTCCTGATTTTTTTACTTTTGTCCCATTCCATTTTATTTTATTTTATTTCATAATCTGTAGGGGAGCCAATTACAATTCCAAAACGTATTGAGGTGAAAATACCATGGTCTAAAGCAGATAGAAAGGCCAAAGGTATGTATATTAGTACTTATCGAATTATTTCTTCTTTTTTTTGTATGTTGTGTGTAGGGGCACATGCTAACCATCTTCACCTTCTAGCATTATATTTCAACTCACCAATGGCTTGCTCTCAGCTGGCTCAATTATTGCAAACAAGGTCGTGCCAGTTAAGATCCTGATCACCTCTGAATTTTTCAGCTTTCTTTTTCACAACTGTTTAATTGAGTTGTGAACATAACTGCAATGCTAGGGATCTTCACTTGTTAAATCTTTCTTCCACTGTTTCAATATTATGAAGTCCCTAAATTCACTTTGGTTTTTTGTTCCTTTTTTTTCTTTTCGTTTCAAATTTTCCAACGATGCTAACTGGTACAGTGGAACCCTGCTCTCAAATATCTGCTTCATACAGATGCAGACAGTTTTGGTTGTCCTGATGAAACACTCATGTTGTCTGTAAAAGTAACCTGCTTATGTGCACAGGTTAATATGGACAACTGACACCTTTTTCTACCCAAAACACAAAATATAAATTCTCATATTACCTCAACCTTGCTTTTTTATGGACACTGTTCATTTGCGAACTATGTGTGATTAATTTTCTTACCAGTGCAGTGTGCAAAGGAAGTAGTGTCCGATAGCCCTGAGGCTAGTGAATTTTGCCATTGGGCTGCCAAATTCTGTTCTTAACTTGCCCGATGGGGAAGTGAAGTATTTTGGGAATTCAAATTACAGAAGAACTGTGAAATCAATTCTGCTCATCAAAACGTTTTGGGGCCTAATTGAAATAATGTTTGGGCTAGCACATGCTTAACCTGCATCTTGCCCAAATGGTAAGCTGTAAAACTGAGTTTCTTTGCATCCTTTCATTGAGTGAAAACCTAACAATCTCAGCTGAAATCTTTTCAATAGTTCTGTCTAATGTGCAGTCCATCTGGCTGAGTCACAGACTAAAAGGATCAGTTCAAAGCTGCTGTATTTTAAGGCAAATACATTTTGAAGTTTTTATTTTTTAGCTATTGAGTCTTTTAACCATGATAAATGATATGAGGTATCTTTAGAAATAACTTGTACTTCAGTTACAGTTACAAATTTAAGCAACGTTTTCTCCATAGCCTTGTAAACATGTGTGAGGATTTTTTCTGACAGCCCCCTTCAATGTGGACACCTAAATTAATAATACCGGTGACATATCTTCTTGGTGTCCATATCAAACAGGTGGTACTGTATTACTCTCTTTTGGTGGAAGGGTTCATACTGAAGGCCTCACTTTTTTAAAGGCCCGTTATGGTATTAAATTTCAAAACGTTTGATTTCAGGAGTTACACTTACCCTGTGGAGCAACCCATTATGTAAGGAGTTGTGTCCTGTGAGAGCCATCATTGCTTGGTTACTTGTAGCAGGTCTGTGATTTCAAAACGAAATGCTTCTTGTGGCCACTTTCATAAGCGTCCAGCTCTAGTTATAACCTTTTCTATAGTGATCAACCCTGCTCACACATCACAGATAGGTTCAGACTCATCTGCATAACCATCATAATATCCAATTCCAGTAATTACCAAGTAGACATTTCCTTTGCTTTCAGCTCGCTATTTCTGCCCACCTTGCAAACTCGTGCATCAGGAGTAACATATTATCTTTATGAGCTTGATATTCTAGATAAGTTAGAGGTTGTTTTGAATTGGATGAAGTTGTTAAGTTTGTGTTGCAAGGTGCATTTAATTATTTATATGTATATATAAAATTATGTTGGACCTTATGTATGATTTTGTTATCCCTTGTAACTTTCCAGATATTCGTAGTGGTTACCTCTTCCCAAGGATTTGCAAAAACAACCTTACATCTTTGCGAAACAGTGCTCGTGGTGTTACCACCTACAGGAAAACATTTGTTGAGGTATAAATAAATAATAATTTTGATATATATAAAAATTTACTGAAAATCTGCTTCTGCCACCGCTTGCTGCTTGAGTTGGGTGTATTTGTAGACACCCGTAACAGACAGGTATCAGGTAGAGATAGTTGAATTCACATGCTTCAAATTGCTTCAATGTCAATCTCATTTTTTTCAAGATGTCCAAGGCTCTCTTTGAAAAGGAATTCACCACCCACAGCATACGAAGATCAGCAGCTCGATGGGCAGCCCGTTGTGGGGCAGATGATAGTACTATCAAAAGAGCGGGAAGATGGTAAGTATTTTCTTTTGTCCCCATACAGGACAACAGCAAATTTCATTTTTAAGTAAACATAACTTTGTGAGGGTAAGGGTGTGGTTCATTCACGAGGCAATTGTCTCGCGCTTATCTAAATATTCTGAAATGTTTCTTTCAGAGACTCTGCAATATTTTCATATTGATAGACTATAGTGCACATATGCATGTAATATTATACTGATAGAACTGTCCATGTATTTATTTATTATGCATTGAAAAAGAGGGTTTTATAATCAGTTTTGATTTTTCACAGTTTCCACAGAAACTGTATTTAACATCATTTCATGTAAGTAAGTAAGAAAACTGAGCGATGGTTAGGTTCAAAACAAAGAGATTCTATTGCGCTTCAGTAAAATCCAACTAAGCCCACTAGTAGCGAAAAAAGCGCCGCCTGTTTGGCAGCAAAAAAGGATTAAAGTCTAGCTTTAAGTAGCTAAAATTTTTTTATTCTCCATACTTTTGAGTAACTAGTCGGATTTTACCAAAACAATTATTCCTCTCGCCCTCATGGCCTCTGAGTCAATAGCCCATTCGGCTTTCGGCCTCATCGGCTATTGACTCAGAGCCCATTCGGGCTCGAGGAATAATTGTTAACTAGTCGTTGCTTGTCATTAAATCACTTAATTCCCGCAGCAAGCAGATAAAATCGCAGGTTTCCAGGCTTCACAAAACTTTGAACACGTGGTCTCTCTAGAGAGCTGTTTTTGAATGTAGCTATCAAGTCAATTGGAACAAGCTTAGAGGGGAAATGCTTATCAGATCGGCTGATGAATGGCTACTGTGGGCAGTCAGTGGGGGAGAAAAAATGGCACTGCCTTCTATTCTGTGCAGTTTACTAGGTCATCGACTCATTCACTTGTTTCATTGAAATATGTGTACATGTACTGAAAGTGTAATAGTTTTGAGTGAAACAACTAATTCTAACATTGTTTCATTCTAGGAAATCCAGTGCTTTGAATTGTACACTCAGGATGCCAGAGCCGAAATTATTAAAGAACAACACGATGGAAATGTGCTGTTTGATCATAAATTGTGGATGTTTAAACCTTTACGATAGTATCAAGCAATCAAGTCTAGAGTTTCTCAACCTCCTCAGGAAGCAGCTCAGTTTTCCCGTCTTTTTTATAGATCATCTAAATAAGTCAATCCTGTGTGGACTAATTGAAATCATGTGTTTGACAAATGCGCAGTCGGCTGCCGAAAAGAACCGTTAGTCATGCAATTGACCAGGATTTCCTATACGGACAAACCAAGGATGGTCCTAAATGATTTCTCTTATGTTGTTTATTCTAGCCTCCAAGAAATGTCGTGTTGTACATTTGTGTTACATACGAAACGATGGTGATCCCAAATGAAACTTCACAAAATTTTAGATAGAATTATTAACAGAATTAAGTCTAGTGCGTAGCTCGGAAAGGTTTATCTAGGAAATATAAGTTACGGAAACATTTTAATTTTTTCTGCCAATAAAGCCGGGATGTAGGGTTAGGGTAGCCTGAATTTCATCCGATTGCTTCTTGTCTGAGGGAGTAAAACGACTCGAAATAATCGGATGAAATTCAGGCTAAGGTAAGGAAGGGTAAGTCTTAAATCCTAGTCCTTCAAGATTTTTGAAAGCACAGTTTAACGTGATCAAACCTGTACGAAGGCATAAGCTCGCTTATTTTACTGGAGAATTATTATTCAAATTGAATTATAATATAAGAGGGAAAAGCTGGTAGGAAATGAAAACATACTAACCGAAAAAAAAGAAATAAAGAGCGGAAGTAATCAACTTATTAATGCATAAAAGTGTTGTTTGTTTAACCTGGATAAGGGTAACTGCAAGTACAGAACTGCAAATCTAGCGGACAAAATTCAGCGTACAACTACGTAATCTAGATTGTTGCAAACTATGAAAACACAACGAAAGGGAAACCGAGCAAATCCTTTTACAAATTTTATAAAAGCCAGATTGACAATCATAGAACGTTTCATTTTTGGGATCTCACTTTGATGATCACTTCATGGTGAAACTTTGCGTATATTCTCTTTCGGGTTTTTCCGGGCTGATTTGCTTGTTTCCCCTGTTTTTTCTTTTTCTTTATTTGTTTAGATTATAGAATTCACTCTTTAGTCCCTCTCTGGAGGAGTTCATGGTGGCCCATATTATAAAAGGAGAATTCATCCCCTGTTGCTTTCGCTACTTTTCTAAACAATGTCGTGAATGAAGCCACTACATCTGGATCTGAAAAAAAAAATCCGCCTTGTGGTACGTATCGAAAAGGAGCTGAACCGGTTAGGAGTTGTCGTCCATCATTGTCGGGAGTGTTCGACAAAGGTGAAAGACTAACCTGTTGTTTAACGTTAAACCCCATGGCAAGATAAAAGTAAGATCGAACCACCACGTCTAATTACCTCCGACGTCAATGATTACCTTCCAAAAGTGCGATTATTTATCGAAAAGACCCTGACAAATTTCCGAATCAAACCAGTACATTTGGAAATGGCCACCTCTTTGAATTATGTTTGTAGAATTTTCCATTGTTTATCTCCCTATAAGCGACCATTCAGGAATAGTTTGATCTCTACGTTCGCTGTATGTACTACACGACTCAGAGTATGAGAATTTTTCGTGACAAGAAGAAACTACGCATATCATGTAGTATAAATTGCATGCAATGAATTCTTCTCCATTGATTGTCTCAAAACCCAAAACATGGCTCGTTGCACCACAGGTGTTGGAATGCGAAAAGCTAAGCCTCGTCCTCCTCACTTCCTTCACGTCTACTTCCGGGTACGAAGTATACCGTGTTTTTCTTGATTTTGATATCAGACACGAGTTGTAGTATATTTTTGGCATATTGGAAAATTTATCTCGAGTAACGTGGTATTCCACCAACAACCGTGCATGGCCGACGGTGAAAGATGTGCTTATACAAAAGCCCTAGCCTGTACATAGACGTTGTTTTACCTTTCTTTTCGTTCTTTTCGAATCGGTGAGCACGAAAGAGCGAGCGCATAGCGCGCGAGAAAATTCTCGCCCCCCAACCCTTGCGCTGGCGGTCAATAGATCCACCACGGTTTTTATTTTTATCACGCGCACTTGACGGACTTCGAAGAGAAAATAGAGAGTCTGTGAAAAGGCTACACCAGCAATTAATCCATAGAGAAAATCACCCATTTTAAACCTACTAAACTGCTTTTTCACAGACTAATTTAATTTTTGGCATACTGCTAAGTAAGAATACAAAATATTACACTTTCTCATTAAACTGGCAGTTGACTACCGTATTTCCTCAAATAATAGCCATCCTTCGACTAATCGCCTCCCTCTAATAATCGCCCACCACCCACCCCCCTCTCGTAGTCTTCTCTTTTTTTTCCCCCTCTCTGTCAAGTTGAAGTGGGAAGTATTCAAGCTCTGAACAAGGAACCAAATTTGAACACTTAAAAGCCCATGTTCAGTATATTTGATGTGATAAATTTTTGATTTAAAGGGATAATAATAATAGAACAAAATATTTAGGGCACGACTTCCAGTGAACAATATTAATCGCATTCCCTCTAATAATCGCCCCCGTTTTGAGGCGAAAAAGGCAAATAATGGCCCCGCTACTATTCAGGAAATACGGTAAGTGGTCTCAATTATATATTTGCAGACGACATCTTATGACATTTGACTGTTAAAAGTGGTACGAAAAGCATTCTAAAAATAAAGTTCCCGTTAAAATGCTGTTGCATAAAAACATGACGTTGCGATGAACAGGGGAAGAGAAGCCATGTGAGATTTCTGATCATCAGTTAGATTCTCATTTCAGATTGAGTCTTCTCATAAGAAAGAGAGAAGAATTTGCGATTGCATCAAAGTCACTTGGGCTTTATTCCATACACACCTTCAATTATTATTTCTCATCATTTTTACAATTATTCTGACCTTAGTCTCGGTGTGCTACATTTTTTCTTCCACAAAACAATTCCTGATTTTTTTTTTTTCAAATAGTAAAAATAACCGTAGATTTGATTCCTCTTTGTTTTTCCAATTCAGACCACGTGATGGTAAGACTTTTTGTATGCATACATACATACACCCTTGGATAGGGCGAAATGTGTTTGAAGAAACAGTGATCACCATCCATTCGAATTCATACCAACATGTAGTCTGAAATGAGAAGACGTCATATGCTAAAAGGTTTCCAAGTACCGAACTGAGGGTCATCCTCGGTGTAAAGCTGCGAAGGTTTTCGTTGTTTTCTAGCCATTATTCCTTGGCTCTATTGTGTTGACTTCTCAGTGACTTCTTAATATTGTTTTTGTCACTCATTAGTTTCACAGGTTTTACACTGACTATGACGCGAACTGACTGTGACATTTTTTAAACTGTAACTTCGACTTAAATTTATAAGAAGGTGCAAACGAATATTTAGAGCAAAATGTGTTCTTTCTAGTGTCACGGTTTGTTCCTTGATTTTCGGCTGTTCGAAATGATTGACGGATTAATTCACCGTGTTTCTTGATCTTAAACGCATTCGTAACTGCGGTGTTTCTCTGACTCTGAGTTCCAGTTCGTTGTCTGAAATGTCTTCTTCATTAGAAGGGTGACCATCATCAGGATGATCTCCAGCCGCTGGTTGGTGAATTTCTTCATAGGACATCAATGCCCTTGCTGTGGACATTTCCATCGGCATATCCTCGTTTAATTCCTCTAAGCAATTTGAGCAAGGAATTCCACAGTTAAAACAGACTGGAATGTTGGTGTTCCATGCCACAGTCATCGGTTCATTATCCGCGAAAGGCGTTGCTGTGTCTGGAAGACAAGGCCTCTTCCGTCGCCATTGATCCTGGCACCAGTGAATCATTTTGTCAGTTGCCTGTTCCCCAAACGACCAATTTCCAGTAGCTTGTTTGGCTTCCGTCTCAAGAATTTTTTGTTTCAAGTGAATGAATGCTTGAAACTCGAGCAGTTTGCAGATAAAATTGGCGACCACCTTGTGCATTCCAAACGTAAACTTAACATGATCAGGTTGCCCGGTTCTAAGGCGCTTACTCTTCTGGCCAGACATAAGAAGAAACTGCCACACAGCGATGTCATAAAGAGGACGCAAAAATGCAAGTGGATTGCTCGACGGCATTTTGTCGGAATAAAGGTTAATTTTAATTAATGTTAATTTTCAAATATTTTCGACGCACGTGTAACAGAACCGGATTTCCGGATAAATTCCATATTTGGATGTGATATGTTTTTGTACCAATCAAAAGACAACCAACTAGGTATTGAAAGCCAGGAAAGATCGAGCAGTGATCGAACCACGATGGCGGCGTGTTCTTCAACTTCGTGCCAGAAATCTTCCAAAAAGCGACTCCCAAATAGCATATCTGATTTACTAGATGTCGCTATATTTACCTTTGCCTGCCAGACAGGACTAAGAAGTTACCACAAGATTCGTGGGAATCCAGTCCTGGAAGGCGTATGTGCCTTCTTTGGTCAACTCTTACAAACGGCAAACGAAGAGACGAAGCAAGAGTTGCAAGAAATCTCCGCCGAGAGATTAGGCGAATGGCAACCTGGCAATGAGCCGACGCCCCAGCTTTTAACCTTTGTATCCTCGCGGATGAAAGCGTTAAAGGAGAAGCAAGTTATCAAAGAAAACACCAACCCTGAGGTACCGGCGCTACTTGTCGAAAAGAAGGAGAAGTTTGACGAGGAACAGGACAGAGTGCGGACCAGAACGTTGCCCAGGTGCTGGCGTTGTCAAAGTCGATGCCAATTTTGTTTGAAGCGGAAACGTCAATTCCCAACATTCGGAAACTTCAGAGCCGAGTAAGTTGCATACACATTTGCATCAGTGCATGTCCAAAAAAAGTGCTTGCACATGCAGGGACAGTGGCGAGGGTGGGGTGGGTGAGGATTCACGCACTGATCATGCAGACACACTTTCAGCGACCATTTGAGTTTTGAGGGCCCCGGATTATAATTAATAGGTGATTTTCAGGGCCCAAAAAATAACTTAATTTGCAAGGATTTTTCGGAGATTTCATAAAAATACTATTTTTTACTTTTAATGTTTTTGGCTGGTATTTTGCCTTGGATTTGTCTGCTAATTCTCAATTAATAATTGGCTTGCTGCACTGTAAGAATTTTAAACAAATCAGTGGCTGGTCAAAGATTTGTTCTGCCTTAGGTTACTTTGAATGATTTACCCGAGTGTTTCATGGGAATCTTTTTGAGATTCTATGTGGCCAGATTGTAGGTAAAATATAGAGTAACAAATGGCAAAATCTCTTTTTTTTTTCTCAAGTACGTCAACCCATATAGTCTCATTCACAGCCATTATTAGGTTCGTCATGCAACGCTCCTCCTCACTAGGCCTTTACTGGGGAATTTTTTATAATATTTTTTCAGGCTTTCTTTTTGCAAGTCCAGGAAAAAAGACAAAACCAAAAATGGGGTGGTGAGATGCCACACAATAGATATTAAATACAGTATTTTTGTTATTGTATCATTGTTTCAGTCATGAATCTGGCCAGAATTGGTTGACTAGCACTGTTATTTAATTAGTAATTAAGCAAAATGGGCCACATGACACTTTTCATCTGTTGGAACGGAGAGGATTTTTAAAAATCCTCCCCGTTCCAGCCACGGAAAAATTTTGTGTGGTACAATGAACAATTTACACATGATTCAGGGTATTATTGTAATTAACCATTCCTGAATACCTTTATTTGAATTTTCTTTTCGAATATCATTATGACGTCACGTTTTACATGACCACATCAGTTCAGTTCTAATCGATTCAATGCCTCAAAAAGAAAAAAAATCCCGAACATTTTTTCAACTTTTAGAATTAACCCTTTAAGCCCCAAGATCCAAATACAAATTCTCCAGTCTGATCTCCATACATTTCTTTTAAGAATAGTTGAGAGAATTTGGTTTAAGATCAAAGCATTCTTCCTTTGGTAATCAATTTAGTAATTCTTATAACCTTTACTCCTGATGATCTGCTGATATAGATAGGAGAAAATAATTATTGATGTTGCACACTCTTGGGACCTAAAGGGTTAAAATGCATGGCTGTAGAAGAAAAACAGCTTCTTCTTCACAGGGGATCAAGACCAAAAATTAAACCAATGCCTTAATTAACATGCTTGACTAACTTTTTGCAAAGTACAGGTAGTCATGCAGTCTTGCTCTTCCATCTGTGAACTTTCAGTCAATTTAAGTCAAACTTTGTTTTGTTCTTTGAACGAGATTTAAAGGGGTAGTCCCTGCTTTTACAGAGTCTAGTTGGATCCGTCATGTCAGTGAATTAAAATAATATGAACTGAGTCAGGTTGTAATGGTTAAACGGAAATTATGTTGAAGAATCTAGCAAAGTTTTATAATGATGATCCATCATAAAATTACTCCTGCAGCATGGCATCACCGTTCATGGATGTCTTGGAAAAGATGTTGGATGAGAATGAAGATGATCATGATAATTTATTAAGTGATGATGAACAAAGCATGGATGAGGACCAATCAGGTGATGCAGGGGAATGTACTGATGGCAGTGATCAAGACTACAGGAACCTGATCGTGCAATCAGACATTGATTTTCCAGATGATGATGATCAGTCTGATCAAGATGGAAGTCATGATGAGAATCCAGCCAGTGAAAGTGAGGACCTGTTCTCTGGGTCTGATGAAGACTGAGTTTGTTTTGAACTGCACTATGTTTTTAAACCATATTCCATGAGAATTTATAAACGGAAATTCTTCGTATATTTTAATCTGCAATAACTCTCATTTCAAGTAAAGTGTGTAAAATCCCCTTGATTATCTATTTCTGTTTCATGTTTCTTGATTTGATTGTTTTCTTATTTCATAACAAGAAGGTTGTACTTATGAAAACAGGTGGCAATGTGGGAGTTAATGTTGATCAGCAGTTGGAGCAAAAATTTATTCCCTGTGAATAATAGGATAGGGGATGCACAGCGCTGTTCGTTTCGTACGGGTAGCTTAATAAATTATTATATATGATTTTACTGGATATACATGAGAGTATTCATGATCCTGAAACTGAAAGCGAAATCTTAGTTCAATATAGTGTATGCAATGAGCATTTATTTTTTGGCTCCCAAAACATTTATTCTGAGCACCTAGCCTAAGCCTCTGGAAAACTAGTAAAACTAGTAAACATTGTTGCAATTTTATTATGAATGCATTGTTAAAAAAAAAAAAATTAAAAAGCTACCTTTATAGCTATGAAAGAGTTAAATGTTAGCTCTTCAAAAAAAATTATTAAAGTTTAAGGTACAATCAATTTAAGGACATGTTTTTTGTTCAGTCAACAGGAATGTACATGCAGGGTTAATAGATAAGATAATAAAATAATTAAACTTATTTGGAATAATAAGATTTAATTTCATTTTTTCGTAGATTCCCTCGCCTGTTTATCTCACAATGATTTATTACACCAACTTTTTTCATCCCCCTTAAGAATGTTCTGGCAAAATTATTGATTTAACTGCATTAACAGTGAAGCCAACAGCTCCTTCTATTTATGGCAGATATATCAACAATGGCAGCAGCAGTAGCTTTGTTTCTCAATTAAGGCCCAAATGTGTAGTTTCAGAGAATATTTCCTCTCCTACAGAGCTCAAGGGTATTGTAAATTCCAAGGGGAAGGAAAGGTACAAAAGGAGTCAATTTCCAAGGTGATGGGGGTGGCTTCTCAAGGTCTTTTTTCAGATTGCCGAGTAATAATTATTAATTGTCGAACCCCATTAATACGGTCACCAATGGGCCAGAAAAAAATTTGGCCGTATTAACGGGTGACTGTTTTAGCGAGGGTTCTTTTTACAAGAAAATGTATGGCTGTTTTGCCGGGAGGGCAAAAAAGTGGCCTTAATGTTAAACGAGGTGGTTAAAAAGCGGGGTTCCGCTGCAACAGCTGCTTTGTTGAGCAGGCTATGAATTATGTTACATTAAACGGGCTATAAGACAAGGATATTATAACGGCTGAATGTTTCTTTTCATGGCTTATGTGGTAGATATTTGTCATGGCTCATTAATAAATTCCCGGCTATCTGGCTGTTGCTGTGTTACACGATATTTTTTGGTGTCCCCTGTAATGTGGTACGTGTGTGTTTTCCAAGCCTTTCTCTAACATGTCTAACTGAAAGGGAGTCATAAAGTGCGTTAAGTTTGCTTTTAAGGAAGTCGACTGGGTAATGTTTTCCAGAAGGCGAGGTTATCAAATTCCCCCACCCCTCGGGATCTTGTTTTACGTTTACGTCAAATTTAATACAGTCAACTCCCCAGGGTTACTTGCCCCCCCCCCGTCTCCCTGGGGCTAAAAGTGGTTCCAAAAAGCAGTCATTACACCATGCCACAAACCAACATTTGTCGGATCCCTTACATGGGGCGAGGCATTTCTTTGTTTGAATTTTTGGAAAAGCTGTTATTGTCCCACAGTGGGGTTAAAAAGGGTGTGCAAATGCCCAACCCCGGGGAATTATTACACACGACTCTGTTTAGGTGTAGGTAATCCAGCCAGAGTTGAACATTGCCTTGAGGCAAGAGGAATCTTTGACAAAAATTAAGCTAGCGATCTTTGTTTTCCTCTCTATCTAAACTGGCATATAAACCGCTTCTAGAATATTTGACTGAAATGCCCCACCCCAGTAGTAGCCTGCGTGCAGACGTCTCATTGCAACAAGGAAATAGGAGACGTCTGCACGCAGGCAACACCAGCAGGGCAGAGAGAGTTAGAGTCCCGTTTAAGGAAAAACGGCAAACGTCAGATTCTGGTTGATAATTGCTCGAATAGATATTAAGCAGATAAAAAGAGCTGAAATCAATTCTTGTGGATAAAACTGCCTTGAAACAACTTGATAGACTATCTATAGAAATGTGAAACTTTGTCATGTGGTACAAATTCACTTTGCCGGCATTTGCCATCATTTAGAATTGATTGAGATCACTAATGAAATTCCGCTCTGCGGACACCCAAACCTGTTTAATTGTTCCTTGATAAGAAGAAATCGCCCCTTGATAGTCTCCTCTTTGTAGACAGGGTGGTACACCTGTGCAAAAAATTTTGATTAAAAGCCCTTTTTTGAACCCTTGACTCGACAACCGATTTCCATACCCTTTTTATAATCCTAAAATCATGAAAGCCCCACCCTTTTTGATTACTGGAGATTGAAAAAGGTTCCCTTTTGGACACCACGACAGGGAACGAACCTCTCTCATTGACATCGATCTAGGAGAGCATGTCCTACGTGTACCCGTATTAAAGGACCCGTAAAGTGGAGCCCCGTTTTCACTGACACGAGAGGGACATGCTAGATGATAAAGTGCTTGTATTATCTACGTTTCTGGATTAAGTGGGCCAATCGAGAACAAAATTTATCACCTTTTAATTTTATTATTCCTTTATTATATTACAAAACTTTCCATAACAAGCAGATATGCTGGCGTCACACTGGCGGGGTGACCGGTGCTGTATATCGGATTCGCCGTTCGTAAAATTGTATCTTGCGGTTGCGATTTGAACCATATATTTCCGAACATATTTAACGCCAAATACGGGATTCTGGTATGGGACACATTTCGCAATGACTCAAACTGTGGCGCAAAAATAAAAGCCATATTTTGCGGTGATATTTTCAACGCGAAGTGTGGTATTCTTGCCTGAACCGCAGTTTGCTATGATGCAAACTGTGACTTTAAAATAAGCCACAGAATGCAATACATCAAAATATGGTGTCATCAACGTGAACTGACATCCACATTCTTTCAAGACAAGAATATTGCTCTACAGTGGCCGTTTTAGAGTCTGGATGACTAACGTCTGATTAGATCACGGTTTGCGCTACCTCAAAATATGGTATATTTCTAAGACCACATTTTGAAATGTCTCAATCTTTGTCTCAATGGTGAAAGCCATATTTTACAATCAACTCAAAATGTGGAACTCTACTATAAACGTATTTCGCAATAGCATCTTAAGCGCCGACACAGCTAAGCACGTTTTCTTTCTTACCTTTTCCGGCCTTACTTTCATCATCAAAGTCCAATCAACTTTGAAAGAATAAATGCCTGTAGATTTCCAACATGATACTTGTGATTTTTAATCATGAGCGCCGCTATAGCCTAATATATAGCCAATGCTGGCTTTTGAAACCACAGTTTGCAATAACGCAAAACATGGCGAATGAATACTAAGACATGGTTTGAAGTCATCGCAAAATGCGGTTAACCTGAAAAAACCACAGATTGCGTTATTGCAAAATGTGGAATTAAAAGTAAAGCCTTTAGTCCATGCTTTTGAAACCACAGTTTGCAATAACGCAAAACATGGCGAATGAATACTAAGACATGGTTTGAGATCATCGCAAAATGTGGTTAACCTGAAAAAACCACAGATTGCGTTATTGCAAAATGTGGAATTAAAAGTAAAGCCTTTAGTCCATGCTTTTGAAACCACAGTTTGCAATAACGCAAAACATGGCGAATGAATACTAAGACATGGTTTGAAGTCATCGCAAAATGCGGTTAACCTGAAAAAACCACAGATTGCGTTATTGCAAAATGTGGAATTAAAAGTAAAGCCTTTAGTCCATGCTTTTGAAACCACAGTTTGCAATAACGCAAAACATGGCGAATGAATACTAAGACATGGTTTGATCCCAAAATGTGGTTAACCTGAAAAACCACAGATTGCGTTATTGCAAAATGTGGAATTAAAAGTAAAGCCTTTAGTCCATGCTTTTGAAACCACAGTTTGCAATAACGCAAAACATGGCGAATGAATACTAAGACATGGTTTGAAGTCATCGCAAAATGCGGTTAACCTGAAAAAACCACAGATTGCGTTATTGCAAAATGTGGAATTAAAAGTAAAGCCTTTAGTCCATACTTTTGAAACCACAGTTTACAATAACGCAAAACATGGCGAATGAATACTAAGACATGGTTTGAAATCATCGCAAAATGCGGTTAACCTGAAAAAACCACAGATTGCGTTATGGCAAAATGTGGAATTAAAAGTAAAACCTTTAGTCCATGCTTTTGAAACCACAGTTTGCAATAACGCAAAACATGGCGAATGAATACTAAGACATGGTTTGAAGTCATCGCAAAATGCGGTTAACCTGAAAAAACCACAGATTGCGTTATTGCAAAATGTGGAATTAAAAGTAAAGCCTTCAGTCCATGCTTTTGAAACCACAGTTTGCAATAACGCAAAACATGGCGAATGAATACTAAGACATGGTTTGAAACCATCGCAAAATGCGGTTAACCTGAAAAAACCAAAATGCCCTTCTAAACTGTTAGGAAGATAAAATGAAATAGCTTCTGGGCTAGACTTGCCAAAATTAAACTGCGAAAGGACGCTCGCTTCGTCTAACTATTCTTACTTATACTGATAGACATTCACAGTCATTTTCTAAACGTCAACTAAAATATTACACTCCCAGAATCAGGGAGACCGGTTACCTTGCCTAAACTATAAGTTTAAACAGTAATAATAATAAATAAAATACAACGACAACTTAGGTACCTCTGTAGCAATTTGGAACGAAATATTTTATTGCATGCATATTGTTTAAGTTAAATATCATTTTATATACTGGCAAAAAATATTAAGGTACCCTGATGACAGGTATTTTTATAAGCAAGACTGCCGCCTCTAGGACTATGTTGTTTGTGAAATCATACATTGATTGTATAAAGTCAGAGTCATCATTGATCTTTTTAACTCGACAAGCTTACCTAATTCACCCTTTTCTTCCAGGTTTCAAACTTGAACAATCTTTACAAACATGCTTTACTATCTTTTCAAACAC